GAACATAAAGGCACAAACAAAGTACCAAACCGCGTAGCCAAATGGATGAGGTAAGTAGACTAACACACCACGCTAAGCTCTAGTCACGTAAATTCATGAAGCTAACAATATATCAAGTCAGCAGAAGAAGTGTACGACGGATCGGTAGGAACACTAGCAATGTATGGACCAGATAGATGGTCACTACCTGTGTGCAATTTGTCAATACTTGGTGGTGTCATGGAGTCCGTCGCAACGAGACTGGACCTTAACGTGGTGTGACGGTTGGCGTACCTCCTTGACCCATTGTGCTATACTTGGTGGTGCCTCTGGGCACCTTGAGAGCTACTCCTAACAGTTTGGTAAATGGTGAGAGGTCAGACAAACTGTCTCCTGGTCCTCCAGGTTGGGGGTTTGAAATGGGATGGCGTCCATTTCTGCAGAAGCAAATCCTTGACATCTCCCCCGCTGCCTTGCGGACAAACTTTTGAGCCAAAGGCTTTGGATGAGGACCCTAATCGGCCTCCTGTCTAGGTCTGAACGCTATGACAGTATCGCAGCCCACATACAACCATGACATTTTCTTCAAACATAAACTTCATCCTGCATCGGCCGTCGCGCAGATTATCAAGGGTCGCCTTATCTGCTGCATACAACAGGACGGATAAGCGAAAACATGCCACCGCCGGCGCCTCCCTTCTTTCTTTCACCTATTTCTCTTATCCCCATTACTAATCTTCCTTCTATAATTCCCAGCAACCGAAGTGCCACTGGAGTAGAACCATCTGTAGCCATCTTTTCGCGACACGCACTGGACGCCTATCAGCAATAGTCCATTATAAGGCCACATTGTCCTGTTCCATGGCGACATTCAACGTCCGCACTCTAAGACAAACAGGTCAACAGGCTGCACTCACACGCTCCTTGGACACACTGGGTATTGATGTGTGTTGTGTGTCCGAAACTAAGATCAATGACCCTAATGGGGTTGTTGAATTAACTACACCCGGCTTATCCTCTCATTATTGGTTGCACGCATCCGGAGACGCTGATGCAGCACTCACGGTTCAAGCTGGTGTAGGTATCATTCTAAGCTCCAAGGCCGAGTCATCGTTGGTTGATTGGATTCCGGTGAACAGCCGTTTATGTGCAGTCCGTTTGACGACATCAGCTAAGGTTGATTCACGAAGTAGTAAAAGACGCTGCTTGTTCGTGATTTCCGCTTATGCTCCCACCGAATGCAGTTCTAATGCTGGCAAGGACACATTCTATCACGAACTGAACGCGCTACTACGCAGTGTTACTAGTTCAGATATTATAGTACTTGCAGGGGATATGAACGCACAAGTAGGACGTCTGAGCTCTTCAGAAGCTCAGCTGGGTGGTAATTATGGACTTAACGCCGAACGGACTGACGACGGTAAGCGTCTGCTGCAATTGTGTGCGGAGCACCAGTTGTTTCTTAGTAGCACTGCTTTTAGACACAGTGGGCGCCGAAATGCCACTTGGCATCCTCCTGTAGCTGGCCAGCGATGGACCCAAATTGACCACATAGTCATAAGTAACAGATGGTGTGGTTCCATCCTGGATTGCCGCTCGTACTGGAGTACCCGTGTCGACTCTGATCATGTCTTGGTACGCTGTCGTTTCTCGATGGACTTTACCGGGAGGCATACCAAGCGTCACCTCCGACTGGCAAATGAGAAATTGTCTCAGCCCTCGGTCAGGCTAGCATATCAAGTCGAACTGCATACCGAACTGTCTTCTTCTAATGACACAGCTGAAGTGGAATAAGATCTCGGCCGCCATGCACGACGCAGGAGCATCGGCTTGTGGCACTATCAATCGTCACCACACCAGTCACTGGATATCCGAGGTCGGTGAAACCGTTGTAATCTAAAAGACACCTCCCGGCGGGCTCTGAGCGCAGTGACCAAAGGAACTATTAGGCGCGAAAGCGGAGCCTACGTGCTGACAAGGATGCCTCGTGGACCAGTAGGGCTCAGGAAATGGAGGCAGGAGAAGTAGGCAATTACCGCAAGCTCTTCCAGCTTATCCCCAACACTGGTCCCAGGAAACCAGGCGTCAGGAAGACAATCAGAGATAGCGTTGGTGCACTGATACACAATAAGGAGCGCCGTATGGCACGTTGGGCGGGAACAGTTTCAAGATCAGTTCAGCTGGCCCCGTGCTCCCGGACCTCTTCCTACTCAGATGATGCAGGACGAGCCATGGACGGTTAGTTTAGAGCCTCCGTCGGAGGCCGAGGTCCGAAACGCGATCACAGCCCTCAACCGTTTTCGTGCCGCTGGCCCGGATTCCCTACCACCTGCACTATTTAAGGATGGAGGTGAGGTCCTCTGCAAGGCATTGACCTCCATATGCGAACGTATCTGGAATGAAGAGAGTGTCCCGGCTGATTGGAGCGAATCGATTATAGTGGCAATATACAAGAAGGGCAGTCGTACAGACTGTTCTAACCACAGGGGTATTAGCCTAACGCCAGTTGTGACAGAATTACTGGCGTCGATTATCGTTCATCCCCTCACTGTGGAAAGGGAATCACGGATTAGGGAAGAGCAGGCAGGTTTCCACCCAGGGCGTGGCTGTATGGACCATATATTCACTTTGCGGCATGTGCTAGAGCAGCGCCACGCATACCGCAGACCGACAACAGCTGTGTACCTTGATTTCAAGTGTACGTTCAATTTAGTCGATCGATCCACTCTGTTCGAAGTATTTGCGCGGAATGGTGTTCCCACGAAATATGTGAACATCCTACGTGCTTTATACTCGAACACTACAGACCGCGTCAGGGTCTACTGTAGCCTATCGGATAGCTTTCCGACCACAAGTAGCGTTCGTCAGGGTTGTCTGATTCCCCCATTTGGGTTCAATTTCGTCCTGAATTCTATCATGTAGTGTTCCCTTGCGGAATCTCACGATGTAGGCGCTGAAGTGCTGCCTGGTGAAAGAGTAGTTGACCTTGATTATGGGGGCGATATCATCTTGCTTTTCGACCATGTTGCGGTGGCACAAACAACTCTGAATAACCTGTCTAGAGTGGCCCCATTATTTGGTATGCGCTTTGCCCCTTTATGACCTCATGATCCTTGCAAACGAGGAACTCGAGGTGGTTGATCAATTCACTTATCTTGGCAGCTGCATCAGCAACGATAAACGCATAGAAACTGAAGTCAGCTCACGCACTGCAAAGGCCAGAGCTGCCTTCTTGAACCTGCGGCATGTTTGGCGACAGAAGGGAGTTTCCCTCCGTCTGAAAGGTCGTATATACAAGGACACAGTGAGGACCGTTCTGCTTTATGGAGTGAGACCTGGCCCCTTCGGTCCGAAGATCTGAGGCGCCCTCAAGTCTTTGATCATTGTCGTCTGCGAAGCATTGCTGGTGTCGGAGGGCACCAGCGTGTCCGCAACAATGATGTGCGTAGGCGAGTACTAGGTAGTGATAGTCATGCTAGCTCCCTAGAACAACAGATCGCACTGAATAAATTGCGTTGGCTCGGGCACGTGCTACGTATGCCTGACCACCGCTTACCTAGGAGGGCCTTGTTCAGTCTACCAGGTGTAGGGTGGCGCAAGGCTCGAGGTGGACAGAAGTTGATTTGGCAGCGGGAAATGAAGTCACTGACGACGTCTCGCCTTCCGGGCTGGAGTCCACGTGACTCGCCTCATGCTTGGCTCGAGACTTTGCAGGACATGGCTCGCAACCGACACCAGTGGCGCGTCTGCTGCCGTCTCCTAATCGGATTGCCTGTTTAAAGTGTGTTTGGTGCTGAGTATTCTACGGGGTAATGGCTGATTATGACGCGGGGCAGTGAAAACCGCTAGGAAGCTGTCTCGCCGATGCCGCCTTATCTTTGTCCGATAGCCAGCTGTTTGTGACGGTATGTCGTCTTCACAAGGTGTAGGCGCCTTGACACTGAATGTCTGCTTAGGGCATTAAGGTTTTCACGTAAGTCCCCCTTCTCACCCTCTTCTTATTCTTTATTTCATAGATCCTCATGGTTGCATGGCAGCGAAGCATCAGTTCAAATGGCTGATGTACTGCTGTTGTTGATTTGTTGTTTTGTTGGTGTCCTGGAAAGATAAATGATTTGTACACGAAAACCAAGCTAATGGTAACGCGCCGGATAGGCTGCTAGGTCAGAACCCGATGTACTGGCCAGGTAACGTCCATCGATTGTTTACTGTTCACCTACCTCGGATATGCTGTTTGTCAATACAAGTATAACTGGATGCAGCTTCCAGATGGTCCGCCGATTAACTGGAGAAAAGAATTAAATGCCTGAGGCCGGGTCGTCATGATCTTCTTTACTACAGACACCGGAAACAGATATGCCAGTGACAAGCTAGTTTTCGACCTAGCGTAGTCCAAGAGTTCGTTGCACAATCCGCTACTTCCGGTCATTGATCGTCCACCAAGACTTTTTAGATCCAAGTTGGTTCATAGTTTACCTTCATTCAACCTTCTCGTTAATTAAACAAGCGTTCGACAGAATGAAATGTACCCAGTCATGATTCCAGTTTAATAGACGGCAAATTTTTTGCTGGTATGTCATTACAAAGGTATTGCAAAAGATTATATCGTTGAGTTTGCTGACGGAATGAATCAATTGTTCCGTTTCATTTTTGGGTAGCTAATGCTCCAAGTGAACGGCAGTCTCAAGTAGACAAAAAGTGCGTTAAAGGTAGGAAGGAATTGTCAATGGAACTCTCTACTCCATCCAGCAGTATGAAATTTGAAGTCTGTGCCACGTTTGCTGACAATAAAAATGGGAAACCGCGTCGCAATCGGACCAAGCGCGGTGCAACTTAATTGATAGTCGGAATGGTGCACTAAAAGGACTGAAACCAAGAAAAAGCTTACAATAAACTTAAGTGGCGCATTTCTCTTTGCAACAAGACAACGACTAGTGAACTCAGATCGGACAAACATCGGGGACATCCCGAAAGGGATATGTTTTGTAGCCAGCTCCCATGAATTTATACAGAAGGAAGGCTCAAGGCGAAGTAGGTATATTTGGACACTGTGTTTCTTCGCAAAATCATACATTTGAACGGTTATCCTGAAAACGATCCAAGTGAAATCGACTCACCTACAAATACATAAACAAAAATGGTCACTTACAATCTTGCGTACGTATTCGGCTTGAGACTTCGCCTGTTGAGACTCAGAACTGCACCTCACATTTTCTTCTTTGTACGGTGGACTGATTACAGAGTGCTCCATGACTATAATATTTGGATCATCCCAAATAACGTCAGAGAGCCTAGTGAATGTGCTCGAAAAATGGAAAACCAACGTTTTCTCTATATGTTCCGCAAGCTCCCTGACCTCCTGCGGGACGCCAGGTCGATAAAATTTCTGTTTCTCCTGTTGCAGCTTTTCATTTCGTTCGATTCGATCTGCTATCTGCATAAAATAGTAAAACAGTATACTGGGGGCAATACTTTGCTAATGTTGAGCTCCGGGTAACTCAATAACGCCCCTTCCTTGAGCACCTTCACATCTCTCAGAAACTCCGCTCTAGTGAGGACAATGTCACAGGTGTCCCGCCGTCCAGTCGACGAGCTAGTCTCTAGCAAAGTGAAATAAACTATAAGCGGACTTACGCAAAACTATTATTTTACGAGAGCTATCTACACAAAGTACTTCACCTTCCAATCGAGTATCGTCAAACAGAGCAGATATTGTGGAGCCAGGCTTCGGTAGACCCCTAACAGTCATACCAGACGTAGCGTGTAATGGTCCGAGGGGAAGGTGAAATAACTTCAGAGAACTGAAAAGAAAATGTACACTCTCGAGTTGAGTCACAGCCCAGCATCGCAGATGGGTGGAGAGAGGACACAACGTGGGTTGATAACGGTATATCGGGGCAAACCAACTGACGCACAAGTAGACGGACTGAAAAGTGACAATAATGTGTAAAACCCTGATAAAAATAATGAGCTAGTCTTCAAATCCGTTGGCATGGCAAAAAAAGAAAAGGCATCAGCAGTAGGCTGGCATGCCTTACGTACGCTTCGCTCCCACATGAACACCAGTCGAGCGTGAGATGGGTACACTGTCGAGCCGCAACCATGCAAATTTGAACCGATGATCTCTGAATTACAAAGGAGGCATCGGATAGACCACTGGAAAACAAGTCGGACCGGAGGGATAGGAGAATTTATTCAGTGTTCGTTCCTGAGCCAGCAACCGATGGGGTATTTTGTGTGTTAACAAACCCAGAGTAAGGCGTTATAACCATGCGTTCGTCAAGCAAGTACTGCTCACGTATTTCATACTAGTGGGTCCAGCTGTGTTGGACGCGTGTGACAAGAGGAAAAAGAAGGACGAGGTCGCTGAAATAAAAACCAATACAGGTAGATGCGATGATTCATAATAAAGCGATATGAACAAGCAGTTAACCAGCTTGGAGAGTTTTGGAGCTGCTCTCCCCTAACACTGCAGAGCTGGGAAAAAGCAGTCCCAAAGCTCTCCATGTCGGATGCGATCCCAGTGATCAAAATGGCAGGGGTTTCTTCCGAAGCAAACCGTGGCCTCAATCGAAATTGTGTTTCGTAATCCAGACACACGGTGGGTACTCCAAGACCTCACAATGAAAGGCCAATCGGCTGTTCACACGACCTTTTGAAATGATGACTTCCCCATCGGTTCCAAAAATATTCCAAGGGAGTTGAAGATTACAGGTAGAAGTCGACTAGAGGGGAAAAGCTATGTGTCGCTAAATGACGTCGGAAATTCTGACCGCATTTTCTGAGAGCGAGTTCCAGAACTGACAACGGCCTAGCGGCGTAACCTCGAAGTTTGAAAAACTGATAGTTGAAGAGTAAATGCCTACAAGCATCACTGAAAATCGGACGAATGACAGATTCTTTTCATACTGAAAGTAGGTCACAACTATTGAACAATTCCAGAAATACACATCCGAGCGGACCAGATATTACCTCGGTCAATTAATGTTGTAGTTTGGAATAAACTGGATCACGCTAAAAGTCATATAAGGGTTCAATGGTTTTAGCAACCTGAAAAACTGCCTGTTCGTTATGTCAAGCTCGGCTAGGTAAGAAATTGCAAACCTTTATTAACCGGATTAAAACAGAGCAACAAAGTTCATGAACAAGGATATATCATATCAGTCCCTGGTCAAACGATGGCAACCTGCCAACTTCCACCTGCAGCTGGCCTTGGTCAAAGGTGTGTAACATATTACGGTCGAAAAACACCTGCGATTTGTTCTACATCTTCAAACGTAGTGCGTGGCAGGTCTCAAATAGAGCCCAATGGACCTCTGTAATCTCACTCCAGATGTGAATTTATTCTCCACTGCCTTGTACGCCAGGCTATTGTGTCAAACGCTTCGAGTGAAAGCTTGTGGGTCAGAATGTCGAACCAAAAATAGGAGATAGAGCACCTCGAACAAAACCCTTCTCGAAATGGGCAGCAGGAAAGTATCATCTGCTATGTCGACCCTGTCGGCCATACTCCCTCTTCTTATCTACCCTCCTTCCCTGTCTATCGAGCAAGAGACTTCCGCTGATCTCGCAGTTGCTGTCATCGATAGATGTAACTCGTCCCTCAAATCAAGGATCCTATTTCACATTAGTACGTTCAACGTCCTCATTCCGGATCAGAGCAGCCAACAAGTAGCAGTAACACTGTGCTTGATAAATATGTAAACACTACCAAAGCGCTGTATGCGCATAGTTCGGGCAGAGTGAGGGTTTATGGCAAACTGTCGCCACCCTTCAGTATTACCAGCGGTGTGAGACAAGGTTGCCCGCTGTCACCTTTCCTCTTTAATTTCGCTATTGATGAAGTCATGGAAACAGCGTTCGCTGGACACGACCTAGAAGGTGTGAAGCTACTTCCTCGTGAGCGATTTCTTGACTTGGAGTATGCGGACGATATTGTCCTAATCTGTGACAGCTCCCAAACATGCCAAGAAGCACTGGACCGATTAGCACTGGCTGTCAATCGTTTTGGGCTATGCTTTGCTCCATCGAAATGCAAAGTAGTTCTCTAAGATTAGCAAGGATCCAACTCTGCGCTAACGCTTTGTGGTGATCTGCTAGAAGTCGTTCAGGAATTCAAGTACCTGGGCAGCTATATTAGCGCCCGTGGGATTGAAGATGAGGTTACGAACCGTATAGCAAAAGCTCGAGGTACTTTTGCCAAACTCCGCCACCTGTGGCGCAGACGCGACATTACTCTCGCCCTCAAGGGCAGAGTTTACAACGCAGCCGTCCGTTCAACTCTACTATATGGTTGTGAAACCTGGTCCATCAGGTCGACAGACATGAAGAGACTCGTCATATTTGATTATCGCTGCCTTCGCAGCTTAGCTCATGTCTGGTGGGAGCACCGCGTGAGCAATGAGCGTGTTCGACGTCGTGTATTTGGTGCAGGAAAAACGAGTGAACCGCTCAGCACCATTATATCACGCACCAGGCTCCGATGGCTGGGCCGTGTTGCGCATGCCAGCACACCGACTCCCGCGACGTGCATTGTTTGCGCGTTGTGGGTGCGGTTGGAAGAGGAGGAGGGGAGGCCAGGCGATGACTTGGTCGAGAGAGATGAAAATCCTCACTTCGAAGTTGGCGTCGATTGGTGCATCCCGACTGCCTGGTCGGGGTCCTATGGGCGGTGAACATGTTTAGTTGGACACACTTGCTGATATGGCTTGGAGCCCGCCCCAATAGCGTTTGTGTTGTGAGTTCCTTTGTCCATCCCTCTCCTGCTTAGCATCTCCCTCCAATCAGGATCTCACTTGCATAATATGACTCTTTTTTACGACACGATAGCCAGTTGATAGCTCTCCGGAACGATGTCCATCCGTTACGAGGGACTCAGCCGGCGTGCCACTGTTTGTTTTGCTTTTCTTATCTTTTGTATTGCGGCACAATAGCTGTGCTTTTCACCTGAAGCTAACGTGTATAATGATGATGAGCAGTAACACTCACTCTTCACTCTTTTAGGATTTGTGTGTGTGCTGAAATACGAGGAATTTTCCACTCCCTGGTTCAGAATCCAACGACAATCAGTACACTTCACGTCTCTGACGACATTGAAACATTGGCACAAGGTATTGTGGTGTTGATATTGCCACTAGCAAAAATATGCTGGAAGTACTCTATTAGATTGGTGAACATCTGCACGGGCTGTTCGAGTTCAGACCTCTATTGGGGTTAATAGGCACCGTACGAAGACAAGGTGCTTTCTGATCGCCTCCGTTTATTTTCCTAGTGGCTGCAGTTTGGAGGGAATCAAAAAGAATTTCTATCACCATCTTTCATCTCATCTCGATGGGGAAAAATGCTGACATTGTAACTGTTGCTGGTGACATGAACGCCCAAAAAGTCGCCTTTAAGATTCGGAGGAACAATTGGGAGGTGGTCGAACAGACAGTGATAATCAATTTCTGAAAGTATAAATACATGGCATATGCTCGAGAATACGAAGCACGTCTGCATAGGCATGATCATGGTAAAACTAAACAGATGATCGATAAATGTATAGAAACATTACAAGTTTACCGGTAGCGTTGAATCTATGTTGCATGAACATCTTCATGATGAAAATGTGTATGTTTGTAGCGGTGTTGCTTGGATTTGTAGATATGTTGGTGTATTGGTGGTTGAGTTCTGTCGGTTCGATAAAATGAGGAGTCAAATGAAATCTTCAAGGTGGAGGAATGATGTCCGTGGAGTGTGAGATCATTTGGATAGGCCAAGAGCAGTGGCTTTATTTGGTACAGACGGATCACAAAGGCCAGAGTCAGCAGGCGAGGTGGCACATTCGCTTTTAATGAGCTATAGTACCCTTTGCAATAATGTGTCCGCTAAACAACGCTTTATGAGGGACAATGCATTACGGTCACGGGTAACTGCTAGGAGGGACGATGTGTAATGGGGCAGATATGTGCGAAGGCGAGAAGGAACAGAGGAGAGGAAGGTGTGACAGAAGGCGCAAATTTGCTTTTAGCTGTCCAGAGCACATCTTGTGCTAATCATAGGGGCATCAGTCTCATGCCGGTTGCTTACAAACTGTAATGATGATGATGATGCTTCCAAACTGCTGGCATCCATTCTCCTTCGCAGACTAGCCCTGATCTACGAGTTGTATTACCGAGAAGAACAAGCTGGCTTTCGCCCCGGTAGAGGATGCGTGGACCAGATCTTCACGCTAGGCCAAACCCTTGAACACCGTCATAAAATCGTTTTTTGATGCTCTGGCCACCACAGACGATAATCAACGGTGCCCTATCTGCTGCATTGAGCAGGGTGGATAGGGTTCGGATGCTACTGCTCAATCCTTCCCATCTCCTTATTCCCCCTCCTACACTTTTTCTCGCTTACCGTCCCGTTCCAGCTTCCCTTCTATGTTCCCCTGTTTTCAACTCCCAAATTCTTGGCCTTCACTCACTTTGCTTTGCTAGGCTTTTCCCTTCTAGTTTCAACCCACATTTGAATGCGGAGCGTCACTCCTGTCCTGTTGACAAGACCATGTATAACCAAGCGGCCAAGCCCAGTTCATCGACTTCCATTTGGAGCCCTCGATCATCCTTCAGACTGGCATGCCTCAATGTACGCACATTGCTACAGGCAGCACTTACCCGAACATTAGAGTCTCTTTCGATCGATATCTGCTGCTTATCGGAAACCCGCCTGCAAGGCTCGAGCTCTGTGGTCACGCTGCGATCCCTTCAGGTGACACTAGCAGCAGTTTCTCATTGCGCCTATCCGGTGACTATGCAGCTTCGAGCACCGGCCAAGCCGGTGTCAATATTGCCCTGTCCCCGGGCTGAAGCTGCTCTGCTTGACTGGATTCCAATCAGTAGCCGGTTGTGTGCGGTCGGATTGGCTGGCTCGTTCAAAGCTTCGAAGTCGCGCGGGACTAACAGGTGTCTATTCGTTATCGCTGCCTATGCACCGACAAACTCTATAGATGATTCGGTAAAGGAGGACTTCTATCGCCAATTGAACGAGCTCCTTCGCCACAGAAGAAGCTGGGACACTGTTGTGCGGGTTGGGGATCTGAACGCTCAACTTGGAAAATTATCCATTGATGAGCTGCATCTGGGCGGCCAACATGGTGTAGGCTCCCGTAATGATAACGATGAGCGGTTACTTCATTTGTGTGAAGATGCTCGCTTATTTCTTGCGAGCACTAATTTGCGACACAGCACCCGCAGGAGGGTGACTTGGCGCCCACCAACCTCGAACTAGCTATGGACGCAAATCGATCACATTGCGGTAAGTTACCGATGGAGGCTGCGTCCAGAACTGTCGCTCGATTGGGAGCACAGGCGTGGACACCGACCATGCACTTGTATGTGCTGA